AGGGTGACCAGACATCCCAATATTATTGGGACCATCCTAATACTAGGGGCTTTCTCTTATAGACACAACTATACACCTCCCCCCTCAAAAAAAAAAAGTGTTTCGATTTTTCACACTTGCTCTCTGATCACCCTATGGCCAGAGTCCCCAGTCAAGCTCAGTATCCCTTTGTGCTATGGTATCTTTAAAATAACTATATTTTCTTAATCATATATATTTAGATTATGGAAATATTGATATTTAAGGTAAGTATACCTTTGTTACTATCTCATGTTTACAGATTTACATCACTATATTTTATTATAGTATTCTTGTGAGCAGGGCCGGCTCCAGGCACCAGCATTCCAAGCAGGTGCGTGGGGCGTCAGTTCGAAAGGGGCGTCAGTTCCTCCGGCCGCAGCGGCAATTCAGCGGCAGCATCTTCCGATTGCCGTCTGCGGCGGCAGTTTTTTCCACTGGTTGGGGCGGCCAAAACTGTAAAGCCGGCCCTGCTTGTGAATATATTTCTCTTGTATAAGCTTCCTTGTTTACACAAAAATATTCTAGCAGCACAATTGGGCTCTGATCCTGATAGAGGGCCCTGGACCCTACAATAATGCACACATCCACAACCATATTTACGCATGACTCTCTCTATCCATACATATATGCGCACGCACACACACACACTTTAGAAAGGTACCATCTCAGTTAATCTGAGCAGTTGCTTTTCCTTTGAAGCACTGGTTTTAAAGGGATGTGGTATCAGTAATCTTGACAAACATTTCAGTTTACCCACTGACATCCAGCGACTGTGCATACAAGTTTGCTTTTACTAACCTCAGAAATACAAGCAGAACAGAATTACAGTAGGTATACAAACAATGAGGTCACAAGGTTAATGTCTGACTAATACTAATGACTTTTTTTCAACGACTCACAAAACACGGTATCAGAAAGAATTCACTAACAACAAAGTGAAGATAAACAATGAAATGATCACAACCAACTCCTTTATACACCAGTCTCTGAAGCTGTATAAAAGATTTAAATTACAAAATAAAAATATCCTAGTTTTATAATAGATGTAACTTTATTCCTTTCCTCTCCAATATATTTGCAATAAGCTGTTCCCAGGTGCCAATAAATATGTCAGAGAAACTTATTGGTTCATATATATTTGGAAGGAATAGAAACTGTTGCTTAAATAATCACTGTACGGAGAAAAAAATAATCTCCCGAAGAATCTATAAAACTGGGTTATTGAACTAATCAGAAAAAAAACCTCACACTCCCCACCCCAATTTGTATGACTTCTCTTGAGTTTAAAACAAAAACAAAACTTTCCTATAAGATCATGAATGCAGTTTCATTTGGACAAAAGTTAAGTTGCTTGCTTACAGTAATATTTCCAAACTGTAACAAAGCTAGTTTGGACCCTTTGGTTAACTTTCCAAGTGATATGAAATATAACAACTTTATTACTGCTAATAAAAATCTCCTGTCCAAAAAAAAAAAAAAAAAAAAAACCAACGTACTGAAAGGAGCCCTAGAGCTCAGAAAGCAAGTCCAAAATGTAGTGCATGTGGTTTACAAAAGATACAAGTGCTGGCAGTAAATAGCTTCACATTTCTTCTCACAGATAAATGCAAACCCTTATCAGAAAGTTGTTATATGCCCAGAATTTTTTTTTTTTTCAGTTTCAGAACAGTTTACTTTGGCAGCTCATTCAGTTTTGCATCTGTAATTAAATGATGATGTTGAGACAATGTGGCTCTGGAGAGATCATAGGAAACCCAATCTTATCTATTTGCCTTTTATTTACATAGCTCTTCATATTTTGGCCTCCCTCATGATTTTTCATTAAAGCAGGAAGGCAAGTTTAACCCACACCCTTATTCTTCAGTCCACTCAGGAAGTAGTACACAAATCCCAAATTCAGCACTTTCTATTGCTCCAACTCACCACCAGCTTTTTAATTATTCACCCCTACTGTGAAGAATGATAGCTACTTCTCCTAGCAGCACTACAGGCTGGGAATAGCAGTCAAACCTGGCAATAAGCAGGCAAACTTGGTTTCCACCCTCCCAGCTCTGCAGAACTGGATTTTTATAAGCGCCCAAATGGTCCTTGAAAGTAGTCTCTAATTCAGAGTTACATCAATGACTGTAATATGAATGTGTAGCTTCAAACATCATAATACTATGCACTTCAATAGCACCTCCCAGCTGAGGTACCCACAGTGTTTGTACACAATATGTAAGTCTCACACTCCTGTGAGATGCTGTTAACCCCCTTTTTCAGACCATGGAGACTGAGTGACTTGCCCAAGGTCCCATAATCAGCCAAGAAGCCGCGCTAGGAATAACACTGCTGCAGTGTGCTGAGGAGTGGAGGGGCACTTATTTCCCATCTTCCACCAAAGATTATCTGAGCTAGAGGGGAGTACTGGCTAGGTAGTAGCTGGCCCTGAGTCCTGCTCTCCCTAGGAAGACACCACCAGGTTGGGATGGTGGCAGTTGTAAGTGCCTATATATTGTGACGCTGGGCACAATACAAACACTTAGCTAGAGAGATAACTTTTAGGCGATAGTCAGTCTCAGAGCCTGTTGGGGGAGAGAATTATAAGAAGAGACGGGACCCGGCTGGCTCCACAGCCTTGAACATTCCAGATTTAGAACCCAGTACTCTTGGCTGCTCATATGAGCCAAACGCCAAACCTTTTTGAGTTTTCCCATCACTAGGTGTAACATTTGGTTTTGCTATTTTGAAGATTTTGCATGGCAAGGGTGGTCTGTAATTCATAGATTCCGAGGCCAGAAGGAACCAATTTTGATCATCTAGTCTGCCTTGTGTAACACAGGCCATAGAATTTCTCCAAAACTATTCCTACAGCAGATCTTTTAGAAAAACATCCAGTCTTGATTTAAAAATTGCTATCAATGGAGAAACCCCCATGACCCTTGATAAATTGTTCGCATAGCTAATTACTCTCACTGTTAAAAAGTGGCAGAAAATCTTCAAAACTGTAAGTGTGAGTATTGAAGAGGAATTGACAATGAGCAGCTACAAAAGCAATGGGAAACAGATTCTACTATGCCCTAAATCGCTGCTGCAGAATCAACAAGATCCTTTGTAATATCATAAGTGGGCAGGGGGATGGGGAGAGGAAATGTCTGCCAATAAGACATTGATTTTTTTCTAAGTAAGCAAAGACATGTTTTTAAAAGAACCAAGGTTTGGTTTCCTACCCTTCTCAAGCCAACCTAGTAGTGCATGTGAAAGTTTTGTTATATTCACAGTATAGCCGCCCTTTAAACTGTGTTTCTTGGCCAAAGTGATGTTTTCTCCTAGATTTCTCCTCCTGTGTTCCCGCTGCCTTAAAGTTATCATGGGGATTTGAAAATGTTTGTATTTTGTGGCCCAGAAGCATCTCAGGCACCACAAAATCCAAATCTAATGAGGGGAAACTTCTTCATAAATTTTGTGTGTGTGTGTGTGTGTGTGTGTGTGAGAGAGAGAGAGAGAGACTCAGTTAGCATTAACCATTGAATAAATAGGCCATCAGTCATAAAATACATTTAGTTTACACAACACAGAGAAACCCAAAAAGCCATAAAATGATAGAAACAGGCTTCAAAGGATGGAGGTGAACTACTTCAATTTACACTGGTGAAAGTCTGCCTGCAGATCACCACTGGCGACAAGCCCAACTGGGGACTAAGGGGAATTACAGCAGCACAATCTCCTCACAACCATCTGCTACACCAGGAGATGGCACTGGCTAGAACACAAGGATGGCCTATGTGTTGAGAGGCGCATCTCCCAATCAGCTCCTCCAGCAAGGCTCCCATCCTTCTCTTCCCTGGCAGAACCCAGGAGAAAGGCATGGGTAAAAATCCCTGGGAATAAATCTTTCCTGGAGTGCAGCTGCTCCGCAGAGCCAGCAGGCTGCACTAACCAGAATTTATCTCACGCCCAATATGAAAAATATTTGCAGAAAAGAAGCAAATTTCTGTGGTTTGTTCTCAGGGTCTATTATCCAGTAAGTAGCTCCCTACCCCATAGGAGCAATGTGGCTTACCTTTGCTCTGGGATAGGCCACTATACATCTGAAACTTAGCTAGCAAGCATGTGTAAGCTGGGGAATAGTCCCGCTATTGTGGCTTCTGCACTACGCCAGTGAAGTGGGCTAGCGAAAGGATCTGAGTCCTCCCTCCCACTTCCTTTACCCAGTGACCTCCCTGTCCTTGAGGGCTCCCCCCCTTCCACTCTCCTGTCCAGCAGAGCCCTCGTAACCCCAACAAGGCTGGGCCCAGGATTCCTGGGGGCTCGACCCCCAATCCTGCTGTGGTCACCTAGGACAGGGGCTAGGGTGTCCCCACTCTGGGGTAATCTCTCTGCCCTGGGCACTTCTCTGACCCACTGATCGTTACATACAATTTGAAGCAAATGCAAGTTATTTAAACAACAATTAATTTTAAAAAGAATAAGGGAAAATGGGAAAGGTTAAAGGAAACACATCAGCCCACTCTGTGGCAGGGAACATCACAAACAGTGTCTCTGGAATGTCAGGGCAGTTCACAGTCTGTTCCTTGTAAGTCCCAGGCCTTCTTCTCCGGCCCTGGCTGTGCTGCAGGGATGTTGTGGGTTGGACACTCGCTCTGGTGGTGGCCACACACCCTCAGGCTCTAGGTGGCAGGGCCCTTCTTCCCAGTGTTGCCCCCGCCCTGTCAGGGTTACCAATCCCCCCCCAAGTCTGGCCTGCAGAGCCTCCTGGCTGAGGCGTCTCCCTGTGCTGCCCAAGGTTCCCCCTCTCTCCCCCCAGGGCCCACCGCACCCAGCTCCAGATTGCTCCAGCCCCAGCTCCACCACTCTGTCTCAGCACTGCTGCTGCTGCTGCTCTGCCTCCAGCTCCCTGGGCTGCTTCTCTGGCCCCTCTGCCTCTAGTTGCTACAGCTTTGCTCCCAGTACAGGTCTGCTCTGCAGGCTGCTTCTGTGACTCTGTTCCCAGCACTGACCTGCTTCGTGGGCTGCTTTTCTGGCCCCTCTGGCTCTGGTTCCTACAGCTCTGCTCCCAGGGCAAGTCTGCTCTCTCTGGGCTGTGCCTCTGGCTTTGGGGCTGCAGCTCTGCTCCCAGGACAGGGTCTGCTCTCTCTGGATCTGGCACAGCTCTGCTCCCCAGCTCAGCTCAGGCCCCTGCTTTCTCCTTAGCTCGGCCCCACTCTGTCTGACCCAGGCAAATCCAGCTCACACCGAGGACGGGACCTCCCTGGCCTGCTGACTCCCTGATTAGCTGCCCACCCCAACATTCAGGCTGACTTAAAGCATTGGCCTCTCCCCATTGCTCCTAGGGACTGTCAGTCTCAGAGTCCTGATTCCCCATCGACCCTTCCCTCTTTTACTACTGGGAGCTAGCAACTAAAACACCCCCACTGAATGTTAGTTAGGGGGCAACAGTCCACATGCACAGGAGTAGGCTTTTCTAAAAAAACCAAAGGGCATGTCTGCATTTTGCCATTGTTATCTAAGATGTGTCCGGTTTATTAATTTTGCTACAATACTGAAGCCAATTGACTGAAATAAATTCAAACCAAAAAAGAATTCAATTATTTTTAAATGTACCTTAAACTAATAAGACTGAGAAACAGACACTGTCATATTGTCTCTGATTTAGAGCTGAGCCAATCCCCCGAAGAGCTGAGTGAAGCCAGGGGCTAGAGGTAGTATAAGGGGAGCACCATCTCCCCCTTGGGTTGGCATTTCCAACTTTCCTTTGCTTTTAATTTTAAAAAAGTAGTTAAAATTGCCTCCAGTCAAAACAATTTTTTGTTTCCAGCAAGAAAACCAAAAAAAATTAATTTTGCATCAATCCAAAATGAATCTTTTTTGCTTTACTCAGTGAACCAAAAAACCCAATAAAGCAAATATACACACAGCATTTACCACAAGTATACAAGAAAGTTTCAAAGTGAATTTGGTTCAGCCATGTTCATGGCCCTTTTATATCCTCTTCACTCATCCCACATGCTTGTGGAAATCAGCCGTTTAGCTCACACACTCAAGTATTCCCAACAGGAGTGGTATATGTTGCATGGGTTGGGATGCTCCTTGATGCAGCAAGAAGACTGCATTCCCACCATTCCTTGCCAGAGGCAATCAAATGAGACAGAGAAGGGTCTGACCACATCCTTCACAGCCCTACCCACGCAGAGCTCTCGTTTGATTGTGATGACAAGACAAAACTCAAACTTCGCATCCAGGCAGTAAGTCTCACAATAGTCTAATTTTTGAAAGAACAAGGCCTTGGGCCAAGCATATGTGGCCCAGAAAGACAAACAGTTAAAACTCTAAACTCTTTAGAACTCTTTAGTTCTTTTCTAAAACTCTCTAGTTGCTACTGCACCTCTCTCTAAACTGATACCTCTCCCTGACAGTTTGAAAGACTGGTCTATACTCTCAGCCTTCCTCCTGCCCCGTACAACTCCAGCAGTAGGGCTGAATTTGGCTCAGCTGGTCCGTCCCTTGGGTGAGGGAATCCATGAACTCACTCCACTCAACTGATACGCCACCAGCTGACAGACACAGAAGTGCACAAGCCAAGCTAAATTAACTTTCCATTATTTGCCTGTACTTACATTGTATACTGTATACCTTAGTATAACATGAATTGCCTTTAAAATTCAAGACACGGTTCTGTTGCGTAGCAACGAATTAAAGCGCCTGATGTTGGTGGATATGTCCCGTTAAAGCATATTTGTAAATATTCATAAGACATAGATTGTGTCTAGCCCTACCCAGATGGGCAAGATAGAACATAACTCTTCCTAGGCTCTGACCTCCTCCTAACCCCCAGGATAGGCTGTGGTGGGGACGCAAAGCCTAGGGGCCCTCTGGTAATCCCCAGCTGCTGGAATGGTTGCTTGGACAGTCCTGAGGTCACAATAAATTTCACCAGGTGACCAGATGCATCTGCACGGTGATCCACCTCTGCACCCCTTGTTGAGCTGTGATGTGTAAAGCTCTGGTGTGACCGACAACCTGGCCCACTCTGTATCTCTAGGTGTCTGTACCTACCTCACTACATTTCAGGCCATTTTCAAGTGACAGTGTCCAATGATTCTCAGGTGTGCTGAGAGGTTGCAAAAAACAAAACTGCCACCGATAAGTGTGTTTTGATGAGTATTCAAGGCAATGTGAGCTGCTGAAGAAGGTATAAGTTATTTGTTGCAAAGATTTAAACATTGCTGGTCGTGCAGCACTTTGAAAATGTGCTGACTGTGTTTTAATGAGCCTCTGAAGTTTTATAGTTAAAGATCATTAACATGTTGTACAACTGTGTGATAAAACTTTGTTTCCTACACTGCCTAAGTCGATAGGAATGGATATTACAAGACATCAGAAACAAGAAGACCTCTCACTTACACAGTACCTTCCAAAAGAGGATCTCAAGGCTTTTTGCACACACTAAATAATGTGACGCAGGCATTATCCCCATTTTACAGATGGTGAAATGGAAGCACAAAGAGGATAAAGGCCCAGAGCCTCAAAGTTATTTAGGTGCCTAACACCCATTGAAATCTACTGAAGTCTAAGTGATTTGCCCAAAGTCTGTGGTGGAGCAGGGTACAGAGTTCTGATCTGACTCCTCAGACCTACATATTAACCACTCTGCTATCTTTCCTCTCTCTCCAGCATTCCTCACCCCTTTCTCCAAGCTGTTTACTGACTGTAGCGGGGTCGTATTGGAAAAACCCGGGAAGTGGGCGGGCACAAGCCCACCCACTGCTAAAGGCCCCTAGTGGGAGGGACCACTGGAACCAGAGACCAACTGATTGCGGGGGACAACTAATGAAAAACAGGGATCAGAGTGAAGGTCAAAGGTTCAAAATGAGGATACTGGATGGGGACACCAAGCAGAGAACCCTGGACAGCGCACACTGCTCCTCAAAGCTGTCGAGGGAGCCAGCGGACGCTGCCCAGTGGAACTCTGCCCAGATGCGTGAAATTAGGGAGGAACAGAAATAGGTCCCGCAGTCGCAGAGCACCCCCTCGTCCAACATCCTCCTCCTGGTATTGTAGATGGAGACGTTGGCCAGAGCCAGGAGGAGGTTGACGAGGAGGTCTCGCGACTTTGCGGGGCCACGGATAGGGTGTGCAAAAAGGAACAAGTGTGGGGAAAAGTGCAGCCAGAACCTCAACAAGAGGTTCTGGAGGAGCCGGAATAGGGGCTGCAACCTGGCGCATTTGAGATAGGCATGTGCCAGGTTCTCCCTCACGCTGCAAAAGGGGCAGGCCTCAGGTGTAGGGGTGAACCGCGCCAGGTGCAAAGCCCATGCTTACGGCTCCATGAAGGAGCCACCAACTAATGTCCCCAGTGGGCCATGGGACCAAGGTGGAATGAAGGCTGGCCCACCGGGGCTCCTCACCCTCTTTAGGTAGAAGATAGTCCATTTGGTGTCGGGGCGGGACACGAGGGGGAGGAAATGCAATGTATGGAGCACGAGCGTGTACAGATGGTTTCTGGGCGTGGTTCGAAACCAGTCCGGCTGCAGGGAATGCAGCCGGCTCAAAGTGTGGGAGCGGGGAGGCTGGGGGAGCTCGCGGAACAGGGGCCCAAGAAAAATGTCCGGAGGCACAGGGGTGAGGGGTGGGCGGGGAACGCCCTCTCGAAGGGCTCGCCGCAGGAAAGCGAGAGAATCGGGTGACAAGGCGGTCTTCACCTCCTGTGCCTAGGGGTCGGAAGGGTGGAAACTGTAGCAGGCTTGTCACCCGCTCCAGCCTTAAAGGGCTTAAAACAACCCAGGAGAGGGCTGTGGCTGGGAGCAAGCAGTTCCCAGGCTGACTGGGGGAAGTAGGCTCAGCTGTGGCCATGCCCCAATCAGGGCTCAGCTGGCCCTTATAAGAGGGCAGTGGGCCAGGAACAGACAGTTTTCTTTAGCTGTGGAGGGAGATGGGCCTGGCTGCTGGGGAGTGTACCAGAGTACCTGAGGTGGAACAGAGCTGGGAGACAGCCAAGGGAGCTGGGGAGCTCCGGCCTGGAAAACCCCCAGGCTGCAGGCCGCAGGTCCAAACCCCCCTTGCCTGGGATGATTGGCTTATACGCTGCAGTCCGCCCCAGTGTGCAGGGGCTCAATGGTGATGGGCAGTAGCCAAAAACTGAGGCAAGGTGGGGATAGGGGGTGAGGGTTCCCCAGGGAGAGGAGACCCAGAGACTGTGGGGGTACTGCCAGGGGCAGCATCCTGGGTAAAAGGGGCACCGGAGTCCGGGAGGGACACAGGGGCCAGCGGCAAGCAGGACACCGGCCTGCAGAGGGCGCTCCAGAGTCTGGAAGAGCTAATTCTGTGGGAGACCAGGTGGAGGCACTGCAGGGCTGAGTCTTGCACCATGACACTGACAAATGACAGATTTTTCTCCTTTTTAGTGATCTCAGATTTTAGTAGCTCCGGAGCGTTCAAAGAATGGCTCATATTTTTATAATTGTTTTTACAAGATGCTTAAGCATACTACATAATTTACTTCATAAACATCACAGTATCACGATACAAACTTAGTTAAGCTTCAGTGATAAGTAACTACATTGTCAAGTAAATGCATTATTAAGAAAATGGCAACCAACTTGGTTCTTGGCTCCTGTACCTTAGAATTAGATTACTATAAATATATATGATCCTATGCACTGCCAATACTGTACTTCAATGTTTGTTCATAAAATGTAATTTGAAATGCATGTAGGATGGTACAGGCTTTTGTAAAAGGAAGTTATTATCTGTGATAAAAGCAGTTGTTGACATTAGAAATACAGAGTTGAAGATCCAGACGGGAAATTTAATAAAAAGAAAACAAATGTAGAAGGGAAAAGGGAGGTTAACAATATTGCAAAGCAAAGCCAGATGTAGCAGTAAATATCTGCCCACAGGCAAAACCTGGGCGACTACCTTTCAGACTGGCGATGCAGCTGGTTTGCTTATTACATTGGACATGGAAGATTGTCAGACAAAGGGGGAGCATACATTTCAGCTGAAGAACTGCAAGGTTCATTACATGTTTTGTTCTGATTGTATCATGTCAACTCAAAAGAGGGAAGGGCCATTCAAAGATGTAGCAGGCACGTTTTTCAGCTTGTGTGGCAGGATTCGTGTAATCCCTCCCCACAATTTACATGGCTTCCCCTCCTCTCCCTTTTCAAAGGGCCTTTGAACCCAAGGTTTGTAAAGGCAGACTCCTACCACGCAGTAGTTTGTTGAAAT